AAATCTTGATTTCAAAAATAGCTTATTTTGAACCTTAACCTTTGATAATTTTTGTTGTTGCTGTTTCCCCAAAAAAATAAGTATACCGTTATACTCAGCTCAATCCTCTCTACCGATCCCAATATTTTTTTTTAATTTGAGATTTGGAACCAAACTGAATTTATGCCTAAAAACGTTTTGAAAAGTCAATCAAATTGAGCATTAAAACTTGTTCACTTATTTTGCGTTTACACGTTGAAAACATTGCTTTCACTTTGCTCACACGTATACGTTTTCTTTGTTTTTTCTAAATTTTACTAAGCACACAATTTTCGGCAAACAAAAACTGACTTCCCAAAGCTATGATCGATCAGCTGTTGAAATTGAACGAAAATTTGCCTATCGTCTTGAAAGAAAAATTAATGATTAGGCAATTTGCAAAGTGTGAGTGTATGCAAATTGAAATAAAATTTGGAATTTCTTTATTGAAATACATAAAATGTCAGATTTTGTTTTTTTCAAATATAACATTTTTTTGATATGATTTGAATTAACCTTATATTCGCCCAATGTTTTTGCGCGTTTAGTTTCTTACTTAAATATTAACTTCTAAAAAACATCCGCACTTATAAAAAAACGATTTAATCTTTTCTTCCACATACGTATGTATGTACATATATCAGTGTAAATCTAGGTCCTGACGTGGTTATGGGTGCATAATTTTGTAAGAAACTACTCTTACTCCGTTCTGAACTTTCGTATGCTTCAGGCATTTCAGGCACAGGAACCTCCCAGGGCATGGGAACAGTACCTGGGTATAAACGCATGCATTTTTAATTTTTGTATATGTATGTATCATGATACAAAAAAGAAGGTAGTTTCATTGTCACTTTTCGGGCGCCATATTAACTACCTGACAATTAAGCAGATTGTGACATTGTGCAATAACGAAAATTGAAATTCATGATATGATAAATATTATATTTATGGACGATAGGAGGTACTCCCGATTGAACTGGCACTCAGGGTCTGAAAGTAAGTAGTGCGTTAAGTGCAGCTTGGCCGTCACGTTGTTGTTGTTGTACTAAGCCCCGCCTTTTTCGGGTCTACGTTCAATCATTTTCGTCAAGCTACTAACGGGAGGCCCTGGAAACGAGCTGTTTCAATGGGTTCGGACCAGAGGGAGAGGGGTGTTAGCTTAGTTGGATTGAGCTGGCATGTGAAGAGGTGGTTGGTGCCGTGGGGGGGATTCTCCACATGCCGGGCACTCATTGGGGATATTGGGGTCGCGTCTGGACAAGTAGCTGTTGAGGCGGCTACAGTATCCAGACCGTTATTGAGAGGGTAAGGCGGGTTTATCTTGGCAGTTGAAGCTCCGTTTCTTCTACAGGTGGTGATTGGGCTCCTATTACGGCATTCATAGGTCGAGAGTCGAGGTAGGTGGTAACTGACTCTCTATGAATGTCGTTGATGGCTCGTCTGTATGTCGTCGGGTCCAGTGGTTGGTCTACGTACTGTTGGACTGCGTCCTTGTACACGAATAGGTGCCTCTGACATGCCTGGGCGGAGGCTCCTCCTGAAGCAACGGTCTGTTAGGGTGTTCACTTCTGTGACACCCCACCAGAAATTGCTTACAGAGCATTTTGTTGTGTTCCTTTACGGGGAGCACTTGGGCCTCGCTGTGCAGGTGGTGCTCAGGCGTCATCAGAAGGCACCCAGTCGCTGTCCGGAATGCGGCGTTCTGACAAGTCTGTAGCTTCGTCCACTGCGTCCAACTAGTCCCCGGCGTCCAAACTGGCGCAGCATAGTTTAGAACCGGCCGGCCAATTGACTTGTATGTTGCCAGCAACGTTTCTTTGTCTTTGCCCCAAGTGCTGCCGGCGAGCGACTTGAGGACCTTGCTGCGGCTCTGTACTTTATTGACAACTGCGGTTGTGTGCGTGGAGTAGGAGAGCAGGCTATCGAAGGGGACCCCTACAATTTTCAGGTTGTTTACAGTCGGTATTGGTGTGCCATCGACGTGTATGCCTAACTCTAGCCTGACCTCCTTCGTCCAGGTGGTGAAGAGGGTCGCCGTTGATTTCGTTGGGGAGAGTGTTAGGCTCCTTGCAGTGAAGAAGCGAGAAAGGCTGGAGAGATAGTCGTTCACATTTGAGCAGAGGTCATCAATTCCATTCCCGGACGCCAAAATCGAGCAATCGTCAGCGTATGAGATCAGGGAAACTCCCTCAGGTGGTCGAGGAAGCTTCGAGATGTAGAAGTTAAATAGCAAGGGGGAGAGAACACCACCTTGTGAAACCCCTTGTTTAATCCTTCTTGGTTTCGAGGTTTGATCTCGGAAGATTACTGACGGCTGTCGACCACTCATATAATTCGCCGACCATCGCTTCGATCCCTGTGGGAGTGAGGAGGCCTCGATGTCTTCTAGTAGCGTGGAATGGCAGACGGTGTCAAACGCCTTTGACAAGTCCAGCGCTACTAGGACCGTTCTCTCACAGGGGCGGTTTCGATTTAGGCCACGAGTTATTTAGGTGTTTACGGCGTTAAGTGCTGTTGTTGTGCTGTGCACTTTACGGAATCCGTGCTGGTGCTTCGCTGGGGTCAGGTGGCAAGTGAAGTATAGGAGTAGTAGGGCGCGACCTTCGAAAGAGATTTCCACTCTGTCATAACGCTTCGTTGGGTTGGACAGGGACCTCACGGTTGACCAGAGCTTACTCACACCAGAGCTGCTGCCCAGAGGAGCTTCTCGGAGCCGTGCAGGCTCTTCGGGTGTTGGGTGCGTTGTGCGAGCGGGTAGCCGTGGAGGCTGATTGTGCCGTTTGGCTTGAGCAGCAGGGAGCCATATAGCTTGTGGTCCTCTCCCGGTGAGACCTAAGACCAGAGCAGGTTCTTAGGTGACTCCATCCGTTGCATGAATTGCACCTAACCGAAGTGGAGTTTGGATGGAGTCGATTCTGGCAAACACAGCAGAAATACGTTTCCGGTCCGGGGTTGGGCTCTACGCCCGCCCGTAGAAGAAGGATGCGGAGCAATCCGGCTGCAAGGAGTTGCTCCATGGAAGAACAATGATTGAAGGGTATCGCCGATCTAAGCGGGGTTAGGTCGCCGAAACAACAGCCCTTGGTCGGGTAAAACCCGAGTCATTCCGGTACGTAGAACCAGCTGTCTTGGGAATGTGGCCGTCACGTAAACTCCTTCCGCTCCACCTATTTTCCACCACGTACTTAGTCCATATCTTTGAGGATTGAAAAAAAAATACCTCAGCCTGGATGGAAGACCGAAGCATACTTGCCAAGAGAAAAGTTAATATTATCCCCTGTTTTGGAGCCATAAGTGAATATTCGATTATGTGTGAGTCCGGGCTCAGTGCTGGTATTAAACCAGCATTCGGCCTCAGCGAACTCAACATTATAGAATCTCTTCAACAAAGGTAAAGGTGGCGTACTATCCTGTGGCATTGAAAAGACACAAGTTCTCAGATCTCTGCCGCTAGCAATTTCCGCCTGGCCCCACTCAGTGTTATACCAGCATCCGTTTCATTTTAGTCTGCAGGCGTTATTTAAGGCTCCCCCACGTATGAAGACACAAAGTGACGGTAAGTGCAGCAGTGCATCAAGAGCAACGCCACCTGTTGTAGAGAAATCTTTCGTACCGCACACGGCAGTAGTTCTTTGAAGTTTTGCAAGCAGGCTTCCCACGCTCTTGATTGAGAATCTGCTCCACCATACCACTGACGCATAGTTAATTATGGGTCTGATCACAGAGGTATAAATCCAGAGGATTCCCTATGGTCACACACCCCACGTTTTACCAAAGACCAATTTACAAAATCGTGCCCATTCTTTAGAGGTTTTGTGTTCCACGATAGTTTTGTATTCAGAGTCACTCATAGATACTTCACTTCCGGAGAATTCAGAATTGTGACTATTTTCATTGTAAGGGCAATGGGACCATTCACCCTTCTCCGAATCCTGGTTTTGTTATGTAAATTTATTTCTTTTGTTTAAAATGAAATGAAAAACAAAGCTTTTAATAAATAAATATGTACCAGAGCTGTAAAACTGTGAAATCATTTGAAATTAAAAATCATCAATTTTATATTATTATGTTTTCATTGAATTCTCCCTTATTGAATAATGCGGCTTATAGTTTTCCAATTCTACATTCACTCAAAGTAGATACGATTGCACACATTTCCATATTTAAAGAAAGATTAAAAAAATTGAATGACGAACGATTCACTTCAAAATTTCAACACGAAAAATAGTTAATAGAGCGTTATCATCAGTTTTTTTCACTTAAATTTGTACAAGGATTTATAAGAATAAAAAATATTAATTGGAGAAATATTTTTTAGTGAACGTGTCGTTAGAATGTCATTATGAAAAATATAAATTATTAATGATTTTAACATCTCTGTTTAGAAAATTGTCAGCTTTCCAAATAAGTGTTACCAATATACCATTAATAATGCATAATGCATAAATTAGTACATACATATATAAGTTAATATAAACTAACAAATTTAAGAGCTTCTGGTTCTAACTTTAGACACACATATACATTTCATTATTTAATTATAAAAATCTTTGATACAAATTTCTTCGTACTTTTTTTCGTCGCTATTGGGTCAAGCAGTTAATGAAGATTCGAAAATCGAATTTGTTGGTTTGTGGAGGTTTTTTTCATTTACAATAAGCCACAAATTATCAACATTTCCAACAAAAAAATATTTAACAAAATTCGTTGGTCTCTATTTTCATTAACATCCTTTTCCGAAAGTGCAATATTTAAGAATTTATACCCATTTCATTGAGCACGCTTTTTAACCTAAGTTTTGGTTTGTTTGTTAACATCAAAACTACAAATTGCAAATCCTAATAAATAAATTATTTCTAAAATAGGTTACAGCAGACAATAT